ACTTTACTTATTTCGATAACAGTCAACAAAATCTCTAAAGAGTCAACAAAATCTGCATTTTTCTTCCGCATGCTGTACAGAAGCTTTTTGGATTAGCCTATTTTGGCTAACTAGCTTGTCGTAATGAAAAACTTTCAGAGATTGACCATTCGACTATAACTTAATAAAAGATCATTTGGCGGTCACTTGTCCAAAATTGAATTAGTATGGTATAGCATTAATGCGCGTAAATTTGAAAGTTCGCAGAAAGTACACAAAACGAACTTGATCGAGCATCCCCATATTGCCTGGGGCATCTTCATGATCCAAATATAAGTATCCAAACGGGCCAAGTCTGTAGTTAATGTTCACAACGATCACGTTCCCAGTGACTGCCATAGCTTTGCCGTCGTATAAAATCAGGGACGGACTGCCTGAGTAATAACCACCCCCGAACAGCCATACCATTGTTGTTAAGTTACTGAAGTATTGATAAGAAAAGGTTTAAATGAAATACAAAAAAACGAGAAAAAAAGGAGCGAGAGAAATATATGTCAAGCCTATCAAGAAGAGCGATGAAAGCGAATAATTTGCCATATATGATAGTGCGTGTAAAGACAAAACAATAAATACGGGCAGGAAAGATCTTCGCAAAATTTCAGATTCTTAGCTTTTCTGGTTGCTGAGCTGAAAATCCTGGACAAAAGTCGGAAACAAACACAGACACATGTAATATGTATTTTGCATCGCTTTTGCAGCACGAAACGCAAACAAGCTGGTTCATGGCTTAATTTGTTGGGACATCCGAACAAAAGGGAAGGAAAAGTTACAAAGCATTAGCTGGAGTCCAAATGTTCAGCCGCAAGCAATCCTCCTGCACTGGCGTGTTCGCGTTCCACATCTCGGATCCCCAAAATGTCTCATTGTAGGTATCACGCCCCTAAACATGACTAAATTCATTATTTCATCGCAATGCAACAAGCTGACGTAATTGTCCATTGACCACTGCGCCGGTATAGTTAAAGCTTCGTCAAGATTTTTCGAAATCATGTGCAAAAACTGCAATTTACAGCTCGCTCCTTTATGTAAAATGAACACCAGCCCAAACTTGGGACATAATTATAGTTCATCAAAAAAAAAACTTCTGCGAAAAAATTGATTTGGACTTTACATTGAGCCTTACACGATTACAAATGTAGGACCATGAACTTTAAATTTCATTCAATCAGCCTCAAATCCATAAAACTGGCCTGCAATTGAGCCAGGGATTATAGACCAGGAAACAATACTGCCTAGCACCTGATTTTAAACCGTTTCCCTTGAACGGTTTGACAAATTAATAAATATTTCTATTTTTTGGCTTTCTTTATTTTTGATGCAAAATTTCCCAAATTCTGGATCTGAATTCATCGTGCAGGCACAAAATTTGGATGTGAGGGGTTTCAAACATGTGACCCTTGTGCTCATAAAATTTCTACTTATTTAACTTGTTGTGTTCTAAAAAAAGGAAGTTTTGGTGGCAATTTTGCATAAAAATTTTAAAAACATGTGGATTTTTAACGTTTTCAAGTTTGAAATTTAAAAACGCATAAAAAATAATGAAAAATTGTCCGAGGTGTGATCTTTAAATTTGATTTGTGAGCGTCATCCGGGCTAATGTTCTATAAGTACATTTTAAGTTCTTGAGATTGCCTACAAGATTCTATTGGTTGGAAAGTGAAGGAGTGGGGAGGTAGTACGATTAGCCGCACTAACGGGAACAAATATCTTTACCATTCATTCAATCTTTACTTGTAAAAGAAAAAAAAAAGCAAAAACGAACTTGATAGCAAGCAGGGGCAAGTATGGTAGCATCGATAATATCCTTCCATGGTCGCTTCATAATCGGTGGACGGAAACGATTGGCACCGGT